GAAGACTGCTTCCCTGGGGGAGCCAACCTCAGAGGAAGCCCCCACCCCTAAGGGTCCTCCAGTTCCTCATTCATTCCCCTGGTGAGGGGTCCACCATCCAGGGGCTGTCCTGGGCCTTCCACCTCAGAATCAGATTTCCCAGGGCCCCACTCAGCCTCAGGCTCGCTGAGCCCCCCGCCTCACATGAGGAAGCAGGAACACCCCAGCCTGGTGCCCAGGGGTGGATCAGGTTCACAGCTCATCAATTAGGTGTCCTGGACAGCCAGAGCCATCCCCGGGCCTCAGGGTCTTGTTGTAAACAGGAGAGGGGCCTAAAAAGCTAATGTGTGACTGGGTTCTCAGCACATCCATGGTGACAACAGGGTCCTCCTCACCAGATGAACCACCCAGGATTTTCTGCCCACACCCACCCCTCTGTCAGGGTCTCTGGCCTGCAGCCCCCATCCCTCTCAGGAGGGCTTAGGTCCCCATGCTCACTCAGGCCTGGGCCTGGCCGCTGGGCTCCCTGCCGGGTTCTGTGTGGGCAGTGCCGGTCTGGGCCCCCACTTCCTACTCAATTCAGGTCATAACCGTGGGACCCCAAACAGGAGCCAGAACCTTCCAGAAGTTCAAAGGTGAGCCACCCCATCAGAGAGCCCTGCTGTCCAGCTCCGCCTGTCCAGGGCACCCATCCACCTCAGGGCCCGCACTCTGCGTGGACCGACACAGCAAGTTAGAAGTTTTATTGATTGAACACAACTGAGTGTAGGTAGTAAAAGTTCTCCTGATGTAACCCACTTTTTCTTAATGGGTAATCTCAGACACTCGAGTTTGTATGGTAAAGGAGGTTTAGGACAATTTAATAGCTCATAAAATTTTATAGTCCCAGTTGAAATCAGAGTGCTAACTCCGGCCCGCTCAGCTATAGAGCTGTCGTTTGCTAAATGCCTCTCATCTATTTTTTCCCCCCATTTATTGGAAAGTTAACATCTGCTCTGCTATGGTCGCGGGGAGGAGAGTCGGGAGGAAGGAGAAAACGCGATCTATTTTTCCAGGAGAGAGGTGAGAGATTTGGGCTCTCCTGGCAGCATCCTCTCCCAAGCACACGATTTCCCTTTAAGTCAGGAAGAGGTTCAGTAAACTGGGGTTGACCCAGAGTTCACCCAACTCCACAGCAGGTGCCGGTCCCCCACGGTGGCTGCTGAGAGTCAAGTGTATCCAGGCCCAGGCCACGTCCGGGGATCAGCCAGAATCTGGTAAAGCCCATTAATAGTCAGGCTCTGGTGATTTATGAAGCACCTACTGTGCGCATGGTTGGGGCTGGGGAGGGGCGAAAAGAAATAGGACACGAGCTCACCAGCCCCTGAGAAACTTACCCTCAGAAGCCAAAACTTCAGAAGCAAAGGGGACAAGGGCTCCAGGGATGTGTGAAACCCAGGCGGGCGGAAGCGACAGAGCCCAGGGTCCTGGCTGCCATGCTCACCAGCAAGTCCCTGACCTCGGAGAGCCTCAGCGTCCTTGTCTTTCAAATGAAAACCACACTGGCACCTACATCGCAGGGTCAATGTGAGGATAAAATAAAGTATGGAAAACAGCCAGTAGCTGGAACTTGAAACATCTTACCAAAAAGAGAGAGACTGAGCAAAACGGTCTGGCAGACATAGAATCACCCTAGGACCCAGGGTGCCACCCCTAGGGTAAATCGAAAACTGGCACTCAGACAGATCCACAGACATGCAGGTTCACAGCAGCTCCGTTCGTGGCCGCCAAAAGATGGACACATCCAGAGTTCCATCCCCGGATGAAGGGATAAACAGAAATTTGCCCAACCTCATCGCTGTAGTGGAAGGCAATTCAGACGCGAGGAGCAATGAGGCACTGACGCAGACCACCACAAGGATGAGCCCTGGAAACACCATGCTCAGTGAAAGAAGCCAGACACGAAAGGCCAATACGGCAGGATTCCATTTACACGGAATAACCAGAGCAAGTAAATCCTTGGAGACAGAGAGCAGGCCAGGTGCCGTGGGGCTCATGCCTGTAATCCCAGCACTTTGAGAGGCCGAGGCGGGCAGATCATGAGGTCAAGAGATCGAGACCATCCTGGCCAACATGGTGAAACCCTGTCTCTACCAAAAATACAAAAATTAACTGGGTGTGGTGATTCTCCTGCCTCAGCCTCCCGAGTAGCTGGGACTACATAGTCCCAGCTACTCGGGAGGCTGAGGCAGGAGAATCATTTGAACTCAGGAGGCAGAGGTTGTGGTGAGCCCAGGTCGTGCCATTGCACTCCAGCCTGGCAATAGAGTGTGACTCCATCTCAAAAAAAAAAAAAAAATAGAATTAGCTGCTTGTGGTGGTGCGTACCTTTGGCCCCAGCTATTCAGGAGGCTGAGGTGGGAAGATCACTGGAGCTCAGGAGGTTGAGGCTGCAGCGGACCAAGATTGCACCACCGTATTCCAGCCTGGGTGGCAGAGTGAGATCCTGTAAGGAAAGGAAAGGAGAGGGGAGTGGGGGGAGAGGGGAGAGTAGAGGGAGGAGGACTGGCGGTTTGCGGGGCTGGGGAGTGGACAGTGAGGAGTGACTGCTCATGGGCATAGGCCTCCTTTTGGGGTGGGGACAACGTTTTGGAACTAGAGGTGGTGGTTATACAACATTGTGGATGAACTACATACCATTGAATTGTGCCCTTTAAAACAGTTAATTTTATGTAGTGTGAATTTCACTTCAATAAAAACAAATGTTTCTAATGAAGGAAATTCAGACTCACAAGCATGACATGTGGAATGCCCACCAGGCCAGCCCCAGGCATGGCGCCTCCTTTAACCCTCCAGGCTGTGGCAGGAGCCATCGGCTCTCTCTCCAGCTGACAGTGGCAGCACAGAGCCTGGGGGGCAGTGCCGGGGAGGATGGGGGTCAGGTTGGAGCATCTGTGAGGTGCCATGGAGGAGCCTGCCTCCTGTGGCTGCATGAAGGGCTACATTAAGGGGAGGTGATTGAGGAGGGTGGGTTAGACACGGCTAAGGGCAGCTCAAACGACAAGCTCTCAGGCCTGCTGGCCGTGGATGCCAGTCAGTGCCTGCCGTGGGATTGAAGCTGCAGGGCTGGGGCAGAGCCACCACCTGCCCGGGCTTGCAGGGGTCTGCTCCTCTCCCCACTGCCCTCCAGCCATGCTGCCCCCACTCCAACTTCTCTAGGTCCCTCCCAGACTTCACACTCCAGACTCCACCCGGTCAGTGCTGCACCATCCACGGCAGCTTGCCCAGAGACAAGGCCTGCCACGGTCCAGAGCCACAGAGGAGGGTCCCGGCCACACGTGACCACCAGTGAGGTGGACCCCAGGATCCCTCTCGGCCGTAAGAATCCCCATTGACCAGCTGCACCCCGGCCCGGCCTCCTGGGCTTTTGCTCGCCTCCGTAACAGGATAAAAAGATGTTTGCCGGGTGCGGTGGCTCACGCCTATAATCCCAGCACTTTGGGAGGCCAAGCTGGGTGGATTATCTAAGGTTGCGAGTTTGAGACCAGCACGGCCAACATGGTGAAACCCCAACTCTACCAACATCACAAAAATTAGCCAGGTGTGGTGGCACATGCCTGTAATCCCAGCTACTTGGAAAGCTGAGGCAGAAGAATCGCTGGAAGCTGGGAGGCAGAGCTTGCAGTGAGCCGAGATAGAGCCACTGCACTCCAGCCTGGGCAACAGAGCAAGACTGTCTCAAAAACAAACAAGAAAGACACCGAGATCTTTGTCCCCTGCCATGTGGCAGCATCCACGTGGTGAGGCAGCACTGTCAACAGACCTCAGGTGCCAGAGCACAGGTGGAGGGAAGGCCAGAGAGGCCCGGCAGGACCCACATCGCCGCTCAGTGGCTGCCGGGGCCGTGGGGGTTCTGGGGCTCTGGGAGCTGCGCTGTTACGGACCCATCACAGTTGTCTCTGACCAGGTCGGGGGAAGCCTCCAGTGTTGGGAACCTCGTTGGCAGGAAATAGGTCTGCCACGGAACCTGCAAACCTCCCAAATGCACAGATACCCCTCAGGGTGTAGGTACCCCCGGAAAAGCACAGGAATGTCACAGATAAGTCTACACCTTCCCTTCCCACCCATGACCGTGCCTCACGAGCAGAACAAGAGAGATTTCCAGAGCACCGGCCTTTTCTTGGGGTGGGCTTGCCAATTTCTCCAAGGGCCAGTTGTGGGGTGGGTCTTTGGGGGGCTGGATTCTATTTTTTAAGAACTATTTAGATTTACAGCAAAACTGGGAGGAAGGCACAGAGCTCCCAAATACTGCAAGGGCCAGGTCTCAGGGGTCCCTGGCACCCAAGTCTCTGGTGAGGGTCTAGCCTCTGAAGGGCAGGTCTGGACAGTGACCAGCAGCTGGAACCTGCACCCCTTTCTCATCCGTAGTTTGAACAAGGGACAAATTCCCCCATATCACAAGCCCGTGTGGAAACTTCAAAACCTGTGGAGAATACGGCGGGGGTCTGCAGCCCGGCCCTCCCCGGAGCCCTCTGCCACACACCCTTAGACCCACTGCCACTGACGCATCCCCTTGGGGCCCCTTCTCAAAGCCCTGGGTGGTGTGTAAGGTATCCTGTGGCTTGGCTGGCACTATGTTTATTTTTTGACTCTCCCACCACAATTAGGCCGCTGTGGGACCCGCCTTCTGCTCACCCCCTGCCCCCCGTGCATAGCACCCTGGAACCCATGTGATCAATGTTGGCTGAATGACGACTGAATATTGAAACGGAAAACACTGTGTTCCAGACCCTGAGTTGGAAGCCTAGCCCTGGCCCTTGGTTTTTCTGTGACCTGGTGCGCATTGCGTAACCTCTCAGAATGGGAAGAACACCGCCAGGGTACACAGAGTCCCAGTGTGTCCCCAGCGCTCCTGCTCACCCATGGACCTGAGGAACGAAAGGACTTCATAGGAGGTCTCCACACCCACGCCACTCCCAAAGAGAGGGGTCACAGCCAACGCCTGTTTATTTCTCTTCTGTGCGCCCTCGGGAGAGGCTGAGGGCTGTTGGCACAAGTGGATTGTGGGACCCGAAATAATCAAATTGCAGAAGGCGAGACGGGGGGAGAGAGAGGGAGGGTAATTGAATATCGGTGCGGAAGCTATTCTCAAGTCAGCCATTTCGTGCTTCTTTCTCCTGTTTATGTTTTCTAAGAGATCTCCAAAATAAAATAGTTCTATTATTTTATGACGCGTAGATATACGTTATAGTGATAACGTATAACAGCTCCTGCAACGATGCTTAAGGAACGGCCGCTCCGAGCCACGCCATCCAGACCAGAGGGCCATGGGGCAGCTGAGCCTGCAGTCCCTCTCCCCCGCTCCTCCGCCTTTAGAAGGTCCTTTTCAGACTCGCAGGCACTGGCACGCGCCCCCCTTTCATCACGAGTAGGTGCCACACGCTTCTCATCCCCAAGTCTGGTCACTGCAGATGCAGAATAAAAAAACGAGCCTATCACCGAGCAAACCCAAGTAAGGCAGCGCAAAAGGCAGTCACCGTGGTGAGGGGCCAGGCGGCGATTCCAGCCAGACGGATGAGCGCACGTCACGGGCTCCGGGTGACGAAGAAAGGGCACAGAAAGGTCCCACTGTGAAGGGAGAGAGCGTGGGGCAGGGGCCGGAGCGAGCGTGGAGACCCGGGTTCCAACTCTCTCTCCTCGTCCTGCCAGGGACTGGGCCAGGAGACTTCGGCCCTTGACCCCTCGGCTTCCAGGCCTGTGAAACGGGGCATCGGGAGTGTGCTGACAGCCCAGGGCTCCCCTGAGAGCTTTGAGAATGTGCCTGGAAGGTTCTAGCAGAAGGCAAAGACTCTAAGAACATTAGCGGCGTCCCCGTTTGCGAATGAGGCACAGTCCTGCGGTTCTCAAACGACCACTTTTCAGTGAGGACAACACGGGTGGTGACGGCGCTGTGAATCAAGAACCCATGGAGGCCTCCCTGGGAAAGGGACAGGTGGCGGTGGCACTGCCCATGTGGAAGCATGGCCACCCAGACCACCCAGACTCAGGCAGGAGGGGCCAGGTGGGTTCCAGGGCTCCCAATCCTTGCTGAACCGTAGACCTGGGGAGATTCTAAAACATTTCTGCCCAGACCCCACCCCAGACACTGGAATTTCAGTGGCCTGAGTGTAGCCTGGGCAGGGGATGGTTAGAACCAGCCCCATGTGTCCGGCTGGGCTGAGAACTGCTGTCCCGGAAAGCCTGTCACCTGTGCCCTGCAGGGCACCCTCCAATGCTCCCCTCTGTACCCACCTGAAGGGGCCTTACGGCTGCAAACCACCCCAAGAGGGTCAGCCACACCCGGCCCAGCCCAGCACAGCCACCTTGCTGGGGTCTGCCCAAGCCCCAGAGCCCTGCAGCCATCTGTGGGGAGCTGCTGACCACCCTGAGCCAAGGAAGCCTCTGCCCTGGAGAGAGGCTATGAAAGACCAGTGTCTGGCAGTGCTCTGCCCGGCCCCAGAGCCTGGGGCAGAAGGGAAAGTCAGGCCCGCCGACCCTGTTCCTCTAAAACTTCAATACTTCCTTCATTGTAGATATCTTGCATTCATTTTGCATTAACTGTGGTTATTTAAAACACTGCATTAAAACGTCACTTTCTGCCTCTCTCTCTCCTCGAACTGGCCCCACTCTGGACTCTCTGTGGGATGTTCCTGCCACGCCGGCCCTCTCCAGCCCTCCAGACTCTGCTGGCTGCAAGCCTTACACGGGTGGCCCACCAGGCCCTGGAGCAGGTGACCTCCCTGCGAGCTCCTCCTGTCCCCAGAGTGCCTGATGTCACCAAGGACACATCAGAATGGTTGAACGCTAGGTGGCTCCACTCCCAAGGGGCATTTTGGAAATTCAGGAAGGGCTGTTTTGAGTTGTCACGATGACCTTCAGTGAATGCACAGTCCAGCCCTTCAGGCAGCACTGACCCTGGTGAGGCCAGACCTTCAGGTCAGTGACGAGGCTGCTTACAATTACCTGAGCTGGAACCTGGGAAAGCATGCCCTGGAGATCTCTGCTGCACAGTTAATCCTCACTGACTTTTCCCGGAAGCATCTCCTATGTCTGCTGAGGCAGGACACGTCCCTGCGTTTGGAACTTCATCACCTAGGGGAGTCACGTCAAAGGCATGTGTGCAGCTGCTGGAGGCTGGAACGCCAGGCCTGGCCTGTCCGCCTCGGCCACGGGGGCTGGCGGGGCCATGTGATGGCCCGGGTTTGCCTTGGGGGGCTTCTGGGCTTCCCTGGAGCCAGAGCCAGGCCCTTACATCTTGAAAAACAGACTATTTTATCATATGATGTCCCTTTCATTCCTCTGCCATGTATCAGTCAGGCCATGATACTGACTCTTTGGCAAAATTGCGTGTGAGGTGAGTTATGTCAGCTGTGGTTTTCATTTCGGATGGTACAGGAAGCGCCCCTGGCCTGGGGGGGGGGAAGGATGAGGGGTCAAGTCAGTGACCCAGGATGCCCCTCACGCGGGAACCTTACGAAATGCTGGTGCCCAGGCCGCACCCCAGGACACTGCTGTACGTGGTCTGGGAGCAGCCTGGATTGGGCTGGGGGCATTCTCCAGGGCAGGTGAGGTGAAGAGTCCCTGGGCCGGATGCGTTCAGTCCCGTCGGGGAGGTTACCTGGCCTTTCTCAGCCTCTGTTTTTCTCATCAGTGAAATGGGAACGAGATTCCAGATGTGGACACCGGGAACGGCTGTCTTCATCCTCCCGCCAGTCCTGACCTGAAGGTCATTGGAGGTGAGAGCCTGCCCTCCTCAGGAGCCTACCCCAGGCTCCCCATTCCCTCCGTCATGGGGGAAAGGAATTCAGTTACAGGTGGCCAGTCTAATTTGGCCAATAGGATGATTAACCACTAGGAAAATAGGGCCCCAGTGTAAGCAGCCGTGTGCTGTGAGGGCCGCGACAAAGGCCCGCGATCCTCGGGGAGGAGAGGACCCAGAGGCTGTTTCACCCGCAGGGAATTCCTGCAGATGGCAGCCGGGTGTCCGCGGGGAGAGGCTGGAGCCGATCTGCAGGGAAGGAGGGAGCCGGCCCTCCTCCGCTCAGGAGCAGTCCTGGAATCTCTGAGCTGCTGTGCGGGAGGAAGTGGGAGTCGCGGTGCTGACTTAGCCATCAGCCTCTGAGGGCATCTGGCTGGGATCGGGGAGAGAGCCGCAGGGTTGACCGGCTCTGAAGTCCCACTCCTCACCCTCGTTCCCCCTCCCCCACACGGCTTCCTCTTTTTGGTGTTGGCTTGTTTGTGAGTTTGGTAACACCTCCCCAGGTGTTACATGAGTGGGAGCAAGGCTCCTCGGACAGAGTCCTGCCTTTCGGCCCAAAGACGCCTCCCAGTCCCCCCTCGAGGCCCGCCCCGCTGGCCACTCTCCCCCAAGCCAGGCAAGTGCTGGGGAGGCTCCCACTTTTGCCCACGGGCAGCCAGGCCTGGAAGAGAAGACCCCCACCCTAAAACCCTTCCTGAACTCCAGGCCCGGCGAGGGACGAAGGGATGGATGGCGTGAGGTCCTCTCCCGGCTGTCACAGTGAGCGTGGAGCCGCCTCCGCTTTCTTAGCAGTGCCCGGCTGGGCCCGTTCCCGGCTGCCTTCTGTGTCTCGTGCAAAGAAAGAACCCTTTCCAACGTTTTATTTACAAACTGAACATTACGTTCAGGAAAACACCGCTTTTCCATCCACAGCTCTGAGAGTTTTGACCAATGCATGTGGTCATGTAACCATGACCGTAATCAAGATACAGCACACGCCAGCCCCCCAAGGAGCCCCACACCCCGGCAACGGCAGCCCGAGCTCTGCGCCGACCGCAGAAGCCTGAGGGAGCGCAGCCCTCTGAGCTGGTGCCGGCGGGGCAGCTCCGTGATGTGCGCCTTTTTGTCACCAAGTAGTATTCCATGGCAGGGCAGGCCACAGCCTGTTTACCCAGCTCCAGCTGAGGGACATCTGGGTTGTTTCCTGTTTTTGCTTAGTCACGTTCTAAAAATTGGTTTTGCATCCCACAGCCACCAGCTCGGGAACAAAGCCCCTTACAAATGAGCCACTGCGGGCTGACATCCAGGCGATCCTGGAGATCCCGGGGGTGAGGCTCAGGGACCCCCAGGCACCGGCATGTTCTCAACCCCAGGCCAATTGGCCCCGAGCTCCTGCCCAAAGCTGGCAGGCTGGGGGCTGCTATGAGGCCCAGCTGCAGCCAACTCCCTAAACCCTGGGCCATGTATAAGTGGGTGACAGAGGCCTGGGGTCCTGAGAATGCCCAAGGAGGGCCGCTGTCTCTCTGAGCCCTCCAGCCCTGGAGCCTCCTCACCTCCCCATGTGGGTGGCATGTAAGGGCCGCCCCTGCCTTGCCCCAGCCCCTCCAGGGGAAGGAGAATGCAATGACAGAGTTCCCAGCCAGGGATGAGCTGAGCCCACCCCAGCACAGGGCCCGGGTGGGACTCAGAGAGACTATCACGGGCAGCATGCCCCTGTTTCTCAGCCTGTCAGCCATGGCCCGAGAGTCCCTTTGTTCCCGAGGGAGGGGACGGCTGGGCTCAGGGGTGGCTGTGTGGGTGGGGGCGCCTGGCCGGCTGGCTGTCTTTGCCTCTCCACCACCCGCCAGCGAGGAGATCACTCAGGCCCTGATACGATCGCTGCGGGACAAGCGGAAATTGGAGTGTCCCGGATGCTTGATCGAGGCAGCTTTCGAGCTGCGACCGCAGGGACATTAGAAGCCAATGTAATGGCCTCATTCAGCTCCCCTCGCAGCCCCGTGACCTTGGACAGCCTGAGAGACTGTGTGCCGTTTTGATGAAAAACCAGGAGTTAGGGCAGTGAGGGAGGCTGGCACGAGGGCAGGGTAGCCGGGCTGTGCTGCTGTCCGTCCGTCAGCCCTCACTGGCTTGCAGGTCACCTGCCCTCCGCCTTGGGCCATCCATCCATGCTGGCTCCCTGACAGCAGAGCCTAAGGACCCCAAAGGGACAAAGAAATCCCCTCCCAGGCAATCCTGGGTGCAGCCCGTGAGGAGGAGGCTGGGACCTCAGTGGGGGAGGGGAGGGGCTCTCACGGAACAGAGGTTCCCCACCTGAGCTCCCACTGGGGCCTCCAGTAGCTCAGCCACCTCCGACTCCCCCGGTGGCATCTGAGGGTGTCAGTGGAGCGCTGCTGTGTGTCCATCCTCACGGCCCCTGCTGCTGGGCTGTCACTCAGCCCCTTTTCCGATGGAAACCAAAGTGGCTCACCGCAGGCCACACTACACAGGGATAGGACCACCCCTGGCGGGCAGCCCCTCTGCTACTCAGGCCCCGGGCCGTTGCTTCACACTTTCCTGTAAAGACAGCCAGGCCAGGCCAGGCCACTTCTCCCACATCCAACGTCGGGAAACCTTGTCCACCCCAAAACCCTGCTCAGCTCCTGGGGCTGGCTCTTCGGGCCTGCATCTGCCCAGGCAAAGCCCACGAGACCAGCCCTCCCCTCACTGGCTCCAGCCCCCTCCAAGCCCGTTTGACAAATCAACTCTGATGAATAGTGCCTGGGCCTCATCGGAGCATTTGGGGGCTCACAGCCCTTCTTCTCCCCAGGGCCCTGGCAGAAAGGCCAGCAGGGTCTGCAGCCTCGTGAAAGGCCCAAAGAGCGGCCACCCCCTCGCAGACACACACAAAGGCATCGAGACCTCAGGCTGACCCCGGCCTTGAACCAAGGGCTGATAGAGGTGGGGTGGGGCTGGGGGCTGCCCACCACTCTCCCAGGCTGAGAGAGGGGTCTTCCTGAGGTGCGGGCGGCATTGCCCAGCAGACTCAGGAGATGAGGGTGGGGGGAATTCAGACAGGATGGCCCTGTCACTGCTTCCCCTCCCCCAGGCCTCCCCTGGACTGAGCCTTCTCCCAGCCTGAGCCCCCTCTGTTGGGCTCCTCCCACCCACACAGTCCAGGACAAGTGGCTGGAGCCGCTGGAAACCGGGTGGGCTTCCTGCAGGAAACTGCCTGGGAAACTTGGTTCTCTTGGCTCTGCTCTGTTCTCCGCCGGCCTCTCCTCAGCCTCCCCCAGGATTCTGGAAGGAGGGTCCTCTCATTAGCCTCACCTCCTGCAGACACAGCTCAGAAGGGCCTGGGTGAAGGAGGGTCCTCTCCCTAGCCTCACCTGCTCCAGACACAGCATAGAAGGGCCTGGGTGAAGGAGGGTCCTCTCCTTAGCCTCACCTGCTCCAGACACAGCTCACCTCCCCAGGTGAATCAGACCCTCTTGTCCCAGTCTTGGGAACCTCCAGGCCAACCTTCCACTCCCTGAGCTGAGTGACCCTGACTGACTTCCTGCAGGTAGGAACAGGCAGCCCCACTGAGGTGAGGACAGGCAGCCCCACTCTGAGGTCAGGATGAGGGAAAACCAAATGCAGTGATAACAGCCGATGGGCACAGGGCTCTTCCTAGAGGACAAGCTTTTCGATGTTGTAATCCTCACAGCAACCCCGGGGGGCAGGGGTACCATGCCCTCTTTTCAGGCCAGAGCACAGAGACACAGAGATGTGAAATGACTTTCCCAAGATCACACAGCAACCCCCAACAGTGAGCTCCAGAATCCTCACCATTATCATTGCACCCAGGCCCCACCTTCTACTTTCTGGTTTTCCTGCTACTTCCTGCTCCTTTTTAGAAAGTGATGAAAAGTCCCTTTTCCGTGATGGGAATACTGAGGCATGAAGGGTTAAATTGGCACCCTGCCTGGCCTGGTCTACCACTACTCACATCCCATGTCCCTCTTTATCCCCTCAGGGGACCCTCACTCAGCACCACAGATGCCATCACTTCTACCAGAAGGCTTGGATGGTTCAATCCCTGCCCCAAAGATGATGAGCCCTAGAACCCTTATCTGTGTATCCTCATCGTTCTTGTTCCCAGCGTGTCGCACAGCAAACTGCATGAAGTAGATGCCCCAAAATGCTGACCTACCAGGACACTCCTGGAGTTGCAGAGAGACCACCCTCCAGTTGAGCCAGAGACCGGGTTCTCCTCTGCTGGCCCAAGGAGGGAGGAGAGGGGGCCAGGAGGTGAGGGAATTCCCTTTACCACATGCTCCCCAGGGCCTGGCTGAGCTGGCTGCTCTGTCTACACCTCCCCTCATAACCAATGGTGAGTCAGATGGTCTCCCCTGGTTACAGATTAGGAAAATGAGGCACAAACAGGTGAAATTACTAGGGTGTGAGTACTTGGGAACAAGAGGGAGCCCTGGGTCTTGACACCACCCCACACTGGCTCTCGTGATACCTGACACATAGTAGGTGCTCAGCAAAGCACCTATGACTTTCTGTCATAGGACAGAAAGCCCCTGAAGACTATTCCAGCTGCAAACACTGCCCCTCACCCATCCCAGAGGGCATGTTCTTAGCCAGTCCACAAGGGCACCCGCCACCCTTGCCCTATGTATTCAGAGTTGTTCAAAGCCCTGTGGGGTTTTTAATCATCCCCCACGTCCACACAGGCATGATTTATAAAGTGGGTCTTAAACGCCACTACCTCCAATCAGCAGATTAACGCAGGGTCTTGGCAGCATAAAATGGGATGTGTGTTTGGTCCTGAATGGGTTGCCCTTGACCATCCCTGCCATGGTGCCAACAGCAATGACAGAGACATGTCATCCCCTTTGAGGGCTTGGGGGCAGCCACACCCTTGCCAGGCCAGAGGCCAGTGGAGTTGTGGCTTCTAAGGGCCCTGGAAGGACAATGACATTGTGGCCCACAGTGGCTGTGCCATGTGGCCTCATCCACAACCCCAGCCAGGTGGACTTGGGGTGTGAAGCCAGTGAGGGCAGGATTTCAAGGCTTGGGTGAAGCCCTCGGTGGCGGGGGGGTGGGAGGAGCAAGCCCAGGATCAGGGAGGGAGGGAGGGAGGGAGGGAGGGCGGGGGAGACTTACACCCTCCCTGTTCTGACCCCAACCCTCCTTCCCACTCCAGGATGGTGCCAGTGGCAGCCCACCTCCCAGCCCTGAGCAGCCGTCCCCGCTCTCTTGAGGCCTTCCCATGGTCTAGTACCTGCCTTCTGTTTCCACAGCAGCTAAAAGGCCAGGGAGGAGTTAGAGCTGGAGGCCAGACTCTGCTGATGGGCACCTCTGGGCCTCAGTTTCTCCATCTGTAAAATGGGTGCCTATGTCAGGAGGATGTGATGTGTTTTCAGTGGGGCACAATAGGTAAGACAGTGGTGCAGAGCTCAGGAAACGCCCCTGCTCCAGAGCCAACCCCATCCTCCTCGCCATGGTTCTCACCAGCCTCCCTGCCACCCAGAGCTCCCCTTAGTTACCCACAGGTCCTGGGCCCCCCACCTCTTGGCATGAGCCCCCTGAGCTCTCCCGAGGAGAAGGGGGAGCCCCTGGCTCCCAGTTCCACCACCCAACCTCTCTCCATCCACCAACCCAAGTCTCAGTCCCCAGCTCCCTGCAGCTTTGGAGGCCACTGAGTGCCGGCTCTGGCTCGCTTCTGCTCGTCCACAGCACCCCTCAAGCCTAGCCCTGCCAAGTGCAGGCAGCCCCAGCCCCAGCATCCCCAGCGAGGGAGGCCTCCATGGAGCCTCGGCCTAGTTGGCCACACACCATCCACATGGTTGGGTTGGTTTGTGGCAGAAAGGCTGATGGGCCAGAACTCAGGGGGGACTGGAAATCTCCACCGAGCAGAACAAACTGGCTCCGATGTGGCCAGGAGAGCTCCCCTGGGGGCCCCTCTCGGGGGTAGAGACCCTGCCACACTGGTGTGGGAGGTCCGGGGCCCGAGGAACACACCCAGTTGCTGCAGACCTCTGAGCTCTTTGACCTGCTTGTACCGCGACATGTGCCAAGAGTTCCCTTGCTAAATAATTTCCCAAACAGCTTTCTAGAAGAGAGTTGGCAGAGAGAGTTCTGGCAGTGTCTGAAGGAGACAAAGGAAAGCAGAGACTCGGCGTTGGCCGGGGCTGCTGTGACCCTGGGGAGCATTCTGGCCCCTGAAGGATGATTGCAACGTGCTCACGGGCGACGCAATGAGGACACTGGGAGGCACTGAGGCGCAGTTTCCAAATCCCCCGGGATGCTCATTCCAGCTGCCAGGGAGCCTCTGCGGTGGGGGCTGCAGCTGGGGCGACCCAGGGGACTGCGGCCCATCAGCAGCAGGGCCATGGTCACCGCAGACAGCGTGGAACCCCCGCCACCAGCCTCCGTTCCCCAGGCCTCTCAGAGGCGAAGTCTGTACTAGGGACTCACAAGCCCCCCTGCCAGCCTGGGCCCTCTGGGTGACAAGATCTCCCACTGACCCTCCAGCAGTAAGTCTGATGGGCAGTTCTGCACCTGAGCCCACGCGGCGGCCCCCCTCCAAGGGTGTAAATGTCCTTGATCTTATGCAGTCCTGGTGATGGCAGTCAGCATCTGGAGATGTGGCTGGCTTCCTTCAGTGTCTCTAAGAATTGGCCCCTCTGCTAGTCCTCAGCTGGCTCCCTGGAGTTGGGCTGGCCTTGCTCTAGGGTTAGGGTGAGGGTGAGGGTTAAGGTTAGGGCTGAGGGACCCAGGTCCTAGCAAGCAACACATGTTCACTGGAACTTGCTTGAGGGCAGGAGAGACTAGAACCTCCTGAAGAAAGTCTGGTGTGGGGTGATCCACTGTCTTGTTACCAACAGGGCCCAGGCTGGCAGGGGGGCTTGTGAGTCCCTGGTACAGACCTCACCTCTGAGAGGCCCAGGGAACAGAGGCTGGTGTCTGGCATGGGGCAATTCACTGCCGGCAGCTCAGGGGCACCCAGAGCTGGCCACCGTTTCGTCCATGGGCACGCGGGATCCTTATCACCTAGGCCCACCGGTGCATGCCTTTCCCAGCACACATCGGGTGGGGGTCTTTCCTGCCTCTGTGCCCAGCCCCCACCTCCCAGACTACTGCTTAAAGCACTCAGTGGCAGCAGGCTCTGGCCAGCATTTGAAATAGGACCTCCTCCCAGGCTCTGGGCTCTGGACCTCCTCCTGGGTTCTCCTCCCAGGTCACTGGCCAGGGGCACAGTCACCAGGGGACAGGCAGTGATCGGTGCACCCTCCTCCAACAGTCCTCAGCCCTGAGCACCCCACCGTACAGGGCCATGAGCCCTGACACCTTGGGCCTGAGCCTGAGTCAGATTCCTTCTCCTCAAAACCCATGCCGGGGGGCCCCCTCCTGGAGCAGGGACTAGTAGAAATTCCCTATGGCCACCACACAGGCTTGACTAAGCCCCCAGCCCCATAAGCCAGAGCCACCGCTCCTCCTTAAGGCAGCGTTCTGGGCAGTCCCGTCTCCCCAGCCTCCCAAGCAGGTGGGCCTCAGATCAGGGCTGGGGACACCCAGTCTCCCAAGCACGTGGGCCTCAGCTCAGGGCCGGGGACAGGGACGTTTCCCCTGTAGGCTCCTGGGGCCCAGGACCCAACCCTCATGGTGCATCCTTCACACCCCAGCTCAGAAAGTTCTCTCCCAGGGAATGCCTGCCCCACCCAGCCTCGGGAGCTCTTGCCCACGCTGCGGCTCCACATTGCTCTTCCCACAGCCTGAAAGTACCGGCCCGTGGACAGAGGCTGCTTGCTACTTCTCACACCCCACACTGTCCTCCTCTCCTGTGCTGGTGACAGCGCCACCCCCCGACCCATCAACTCTCAGGTAAGCCACACCCAGTGTGACAGGGTTCCCAGGAGGGTGTCACGGGGTTGGCAGAGCCAGATGGGAAATGGGGGCTATTTAAGGAATGGGAAGACAGGGGAGGTCAGGTTTCCGGCATGGACGTGCTGCTGGGAGAGGCCTGGCAGTTGTCCGATTCAGCCTGTAAGCTGTTGATGCTGAGGTGGTGAGTGGGTGGACAGATATCTGGACGGCAGGGCAGAGGTCAGAGCTGGAGAGATGCCGCGGGGCTCTCGCCATAGGAATGGCGTTTAAAGGGACTGGACTGTCAGCTGGGATTATAGGCATGGTGCCTCATGCCTATAATCCTAGCAGTTTGGGAGGCCCAGGTGGGTGGATCACCTGAGGTCAGGAACTTGAGACCAGCCTGGCCAACATGGCGAAACCCAGTATCTACTAAAAATACAAAAATTAGCCGGGCATGGTGCCTGTAATCCCAGCTACTCAGGAGACTGAGGCAGGAGAATCGCTTAAAACGGTGAGGCAGAGGTTGCAGTGAGCTGAGATTGCGACATTGCACTCCAGCCTGGGTGACAGAGCAAGTCTTTGTCTCAAAATAAATCAATAATTATAAATAAGTAAATAAAATCAAGGGACTGGACTTGGGGATCCTGGGAGAGGGTATAGATGGGGCTTACCCCAGGCCATCCCAGGTGGGGAAAAGGCAAAACAGCCACGGAAAGAGACTGAGAAGGTTCGGCCCATGATGAAGTGGGAGGACTGGTGGGGAGGACTAGTGGGGAGGACTAGTGGGGAGGACTAGTGGGGAGAGCAGCTGGGGAGGGCAGGAGGGGAGGGCAGGAGGGGAGAGCAGGTGGGGAGGATGGGTGGGGAGGACAGCAGGGCGGGGTCTCCCAGAAGGCACGAGGAGAAAGCTGTACAGTGCTGCTGGAGGATGGAATGGGTTTGAGAACACAGGTCGCTGGAGACCTTGGTGACACTTCTTTTATGCCAGATTTGAGGAAGAGGAAGAGGCATCTATGAGGGGAGATGGCTGCAGGTGAGGAGGGGCTGGAGGGTGATGGGGGTTGGAGGGTGATGCAGTTTGGAGGGTGATGCGGGTTGGAGGGTAATGCGGGTTGGAGGGTGATGGGGGTTGGAGGGTGATGGGGGTTGGCGGGTGATGGGGGTTGGAGGGCGATGGGGGTTGGAGGGTGATGAGTGTTGGAGGGTGATGTGGGTTGGCGGGGCCGGCTTGGCTGGGGGTTGCTTGAAATGAGCCCCACACAGGGAAGCTGACACGGCAGGTGAGAACTGCCCAAAGCCATCTTGACCCCAAACTTAGATCCCCTTGGCTTCATTTGTATTCTTATCCCCACCCCCAACCCCTCTTCATGCTGTAGCCAGAGGAGGCTGGGGTTCAGGGAAGATGGAGCTTCAGCTCCCCAGGAAAATCCCGACTCCCTCTCCGGCTCGGGAGGCCCAAGCTCTGGCCATGCCCCTTCTCAAGCCCCTGAAAGAAGCCCTGCGTCAGCCTCAGGCACCAGGTCAGCCTTCATGTGCTCACTGCTCAGCCTCATTCCCCACGGTCCCCCTCTCAGAGGCCTCAGCTGTGTGTCCAGCCTGGCTCAGGGTGGGCACTTAGACACGACCTCCCACCCTCCCCTTCCTCCCTGCTCTGGTGGTCCGGCTTCTTCTTGAATGCCTCCTGTGATGGGATGCTCAGCACCACTCAAGCTAGCAGGTCCCCACTTCGGTTTTTCCCCTGGCATGAGTTCAGGGCAGGAGCAGGGAGCTGGGGCCCACTGCAGTGCAGGGGGCTCTCCCCAGCTGAGGGGATGTCAACAATCCATTGCCTCCTGGGAGATCTGGGCACACGTGCAGCGTCTGTGCACAGGCAGGAAGGTAGCGGCCTCCACTGACCAAGCCCTCAGACGACTCATCAGCTGTGACACACACCTTTTCATTTGGACCCATTAGGGTGGCCTGGTGGAAACAAAGCATCTATCACGCCCCAGGAAAGTGTCACACAGGTATTCCCAAATTCTCCTTCTCCAAAGCCCTCAGAGGCCTGACGGCCATTCATACCCATCAACCAGGAGAAAAATAATGTCATTTCCATAACGCACACCCTCTCCGAGAGGCGCTATAAATATGTAGAGATGACATCGCCACAGCCTGGCTTGTGTGAGTGATGTCATCTTGGGGGGTTGCCTAGCAACCCCGACAACGTTTGGGAGGCTCTAATTCTTGAGTGGGATAAAGTCACATTTATGCCGTTCAGTTAATCAGCTTCCTGGCAACTCCGCCAGGATGATCTCATTTTATTCATGATTATTTTATGTGAAATGCACTTTTAGCTCTAAGAGAACACAAAGATTTAATTCAAAACTCGCTATTGCTTTGCGTTTCCAGGGTGTCGTTAACACGGCGTCCATGCAAATAACCATGGTAACACATGGATAATTAGTATATATGGCACACGGTATTAATACAGAACCAGGACGGGCTCCCAATCAGCGACGATTACCGCATGTTATTACTGGAGTAATTACCTGCAGTAACACACAAATTGAACTAAATGGTCAATTGAAGTAAAGTGAATGGCTTTTTATTCTAGTCCCTAAATAATGTGTCTGCTTGGCTGAGTAGTTAAAGGTAAATAAAACTCTTAAATTGACGCCCTTTCCCCACCGCCCCTCCCCGGGTGGAGAACTGGGCTTCATGGCTCTTGCAGTCTGGTAACCAGACAGTTACTCCTGGAAGCATCTGCCTCTCCTCCAGCCGCCCATCTTGACAGCAGGCACCCCCATCAAGCGTCCCTGCAGAGCTCTGGCCCTTATTAAAAATTCCCAAGCCCTGTGTGCCGTCTTACTCATCCCCCCAGGGAAGAGGGCACAGAACTTTCCAGATCGAAGATGAAGAGCAAAAGGCAACGGCCTGCCTCCCAGGGATGTTTTCTTGCCCCTCTGGTAGGTGGGACAGCAAAGAATCACTGGCTTCCTGTTACAGGATGGAAGCCGGGAGGGGAGGTCAAAAGTCACTTCTGCCTTATTAGCAGAGCGTTTCTAAAATTCCATAAACTTAGAAGATCTTCAAACAGGAAGTCACACTGGACCTCTCAGAGAAACTGGGCACGTTCCAAATTTGAGCTCCTTGGCTCCCTTCAGAGAGGGACAAGGAGAAGGAAGGGCAGGCAGGCAACCCTCGAACTGGCTCAGAGGAGACCTGTGCAGCCAGATGCCCCGCGATGGGACAGGGGACAGAGTCAGTCTTATCCCGGCCCTTCCCCAGTGACAGAAGCAGTGTTTGGATGGAAGCAGGCCTGGGGAGGTGGGAGAGAAACGTCAAGTCCTTCTTTCGGCTGTGGGGTGGGTCCGACCCCCACCATCCTGGATGATGGGCCAGGGTGCCCACATGGGCATCGAATGCCAGGAAAGCAAGCACAGGATGCAGAGGAGTATAAAGGGGGCCTGGCTTCTCGGGGCTTCTCTGAGGGAGACAAAATTAAGCTGAAACTGGAAGGGTGAGGGAGGTTGCAGGGAAGGAGGACAGAGGAGGACAGTCACAGTCAGAGAAAGGCCAGCAAAAAGCCCTGTGCCCGAGAGAGGCCACTCCACTAAACCACCATCTTGGAATGCTACATGTGCAGAAATGCCTAAGTACAGAAATCTGAGGAGTAAAGAAAAACGTGGCTTAAAAACCCATCGCCTCGTCTGCATTCCAACGTGGCAGGGGCAGAATTCATTGCAGGGCAAGCTGCTTTGTTGATCGGAAACTCTCTCAAAGACCCTTCCTTGTCAAGGGGAGACCACCTGTCTACTCTGGATTGGAGAGGCTGAGACGACCAAAGAGAGCAAATTGCATTTCAAACAAAGGGGATTTGTAATCAAAACACTGGCAGAGGCACACCTGCTCACACCCGCTGCCCCAGAGCAAGGCAGCCATCAATGCAACAGAAACAAGGGGGTCCACAACACATGCCTGGGCTGAAAACAAGACAAGCCTCTCTCGAATCAGAAACAGAAGGAGCAGGGTGAGCAACCAGGTCAGGAGTGGTACGATCTGGGCACTTAGCACTCCCAAAGGGCAGTAGGGAATGGAGGCCAGCTCGGGTCAGGATACAGGCTTCAGAGAGGGCAAGAAAACAGCCCAGCAGCCTTGGTGCTGAAGTTATAATTTAGGAACACTGCAGCCTATGGAGGAGGCAGGGAAGGGCTGATGCCACAACCTCAAAAGGAGAAGCCTCACCAAGAAGCCTTCTGACTCCGGGACCGTATCTGCTTTGCGCTCTGTGTCACAGCACTGCAGAAATACCACCTGATTCTAGACTAGTCGGGGAGAGAAAGGGAGCAAAAGACATAAAACCAGATGAGGAAAGACCTCAACTCCTTCCAGTCGAAATGAGCAAACTAACATTTTAAAACACAAGAAGAAATGGTAGGAAGAAGAAATTGATTTTGTATAGCATCCGACAAAGACTTCAAAATAACATTGTGTTCCATAATGACATAAATTAAAAGTCTCACATCTATTGAAAAATGAATAATATATCAATATATCCAAAAATTGTATGAGATTGGACAAAATGGTTAAATTCTTAAGAACAAATACATAACTCATTGAAACAAGCTCAAGAAGAATAGAAAACTATGGGGAGGAAGGCAGAAATCACACTGCCACGTGTGTACCTCTGCAACAATCTTGCATGTTCTTCACATGTACCCCAAAACCTAAAATGCAATAAAATAAATTCACAAAAAGAAAAAAAAAGAAAAGAAAACTAATAGAAATAGAAAAACTAAGGAGTCCTACAACCATTCCATGAATTTAATCAGTAATTTTAAAAGAAAAAAAAAAAATCTTCCTGATCAGAGAACCTCAGGTCTCGATGACTTCACTGGTACCAAATGTTTAAGTACAAGTTACAGTAATGCCAATCTTGCATAAACTTTACCAGAAAATAAAGAGGATATGCTCTTCAATTATTTTGCAAGGATAGCATAAATTTAAAATCAAATCTCACCAAAACTATGAGAAAGCTAAGGCCAGGAGGTGAGTGAGGTGCTTAGCACAAAGTTTAAGGATGTGCATTCACAAGAGTGGGGTTTCGTCACATGCTGCATTACAGCTGTCTCACCTGCCTCACCTTAGTTCCAACCCTGGAGAGAGGAGAATAGAGTACTCACATATAGAAGCAAAGATACAAAACAAAAGATTTGAAAATAGAATTCAGCAATAGAAAAGATAATGCATCATTAAACAGTTATATCAGAATTTCAGATTTGGTTATAGAAAAGCAATCAATATAATTAATCACATTAAGGAAAATAGCAGATGATGGTCTTCCTAATGTAGCAAAACTTCGAAAAACTTTGACATCTATTTACGACTAAAACTTAAACAACTCTTAGCAAACCAGAAATAAAAGGAAACCTCCTTAATCTAAGAAAAATCTATTAAAAAAAAAGAAAGAAAAATCTGTTAAAAGTCTACAGCAGTCATCAAATTTAATGGTAAAATGTTGAAAGCTTTCCCTCTGAAATTAGAAGCAAGGCAAGGATTTTTTCTGTCACCGCTTCTGTTCAGCATTATATTAGCAACCCTAAGCAGAGCAATAACTAAGAAAAAGAAAAAAGGGTGAAAGGACTGGAAAGGAAGAGACAAAACTCATTTTTCACAGATAACGTGATTGTTTACATAGATCTAAAATAACCCATAGATCAATCATTCAGATTACTAAGAGTTTAATGAGGTTGCTGCATATAAAATCAGATTTATTTCTATGTAATGAGTAAATAAATATAGTTATTAAATGACACTACTTACAACATCAAAAGATACCAGGTATCAGTTAGGTGCGGTGGCTCATGCCTGTAATCCCAGCACTTTGGGATGCTGAGGCGGGCAGATCACCTGAGGTCAGGAATTCAAGACCAGCCTGGCCAACATGGTGAAACCCCATCTCTACTAAAAATATAAAAATCAGCTGGGCGTGGTGGTACATGCCTGTAATCCCAGCTACTTGGGAGGCTGAGGTAGGGAATCACTTGAACCC